ATGTCTTCTTGGTGGGTTCTTCCCTTGAGTATTATGAAGTGACCTTCTGGGTCTCTCTTTATGGTCCTCTTTTTGAAGTCTATTTTGTCTGATATGAGAATTGCTACCCCAGCTTTTTTTTCTTGTCCGTTTGCTTGGAAAATTTGTTTCCAGCCTTTCACTTTTAGTCTGTGATGGTCCTTTGTCCTGAGGTGGGTCTCTTGTAGGCAACATATGTGAGGGTCATGCTTTCTTATCCAGTCAGCTATTCTGTGTCTTTTGATTGGACCATTTAATCCATTTACGTTTAAGGTTATTATTGATAGGTACTTATTCATTTCCATTTTTTGTACCTGTGTTCCTCTCTGTCTCTCACTTTTCCTTCCTTTCCTTAAAGCAGTCCTTTTAGTATTTTTTGTAGGACTGGTTTGGTGGAGACATATTCTTTTAGACTTCTTTTGTCTTGGAAGCTCTTTATTTGGCCTTCTATCTTGATTGAGAGCCTTGCTGGGTAAAGTAGTCTTGGGTGCAGGCCTTTGGTTCTCATTACTTGGAATATTTCTTGCCATTCTCTTCTTGCTTGGAGTGTTTCCATTGAGAAGTCAGTAGCTAGCCTTATTGGGGCTCCCTTGTATGTTACTTCTTTTTTCTCCCTTGCTGCCTTTAAGATTCTCTCTTTGTCTTGGAATTTTGCCATTTTAATGATGATGTGTCTTGAAGTGGGCCTCCTTGGGTTCCTCTTGATTGGGACTCTCTGTGATTCCTGGATTTGTGTGACTTTTTCTGTCATCAAATTAGGAAAATTTTCTCTCATTACTCTTTCAAATATGTTTTCTATTCCTTGTTCTTCTTCTTCTCCTTCTGGTATCCCTATTATTCGGATATTATTAGGTTTCATATTGTCTTGTATTTCTCTTAATCCCTCTTCATTCTTTCTAAGGTTCTTTTCATTTTCCTGCTCTTTCTGTGAGATGCTTTCTACTTTGTCCTCCAACTCGCTAATCCTATCCTCCGCCTCTTCTATCCTACTTTTGAAACTATCTACTGTGTTCTTCAATTCAGAGATTGTATTCTTCATTTCCTCTTGTCCCTTGCTGATAGTTTCTATTTCCTTTTTCATGTTGATATAGTTTGTGGTGAGGTCATTGTTAGCTCCCCTGTAGTTTTTGGTAGCTCATTGTGAGCTCTTTGAACTTCATGACTACCAGTGCTTTGAATTAACTATCTGTTAGTTGATTAGCTTCTATTTCATCTAACATTCTTTCTGAAGCCTCTGCTTTTTCTTTTATTTGGTGATTGTTTCTTTGTCTTCCCATTGTTTGTGCGACTCTTCTTGTTGGCCTCAGCTTCTAAAATTGATCTGTTCTGACTCCCTGGGTTTATGCTGTGAACTTCTGCGGTATACTGCCTGTGAATTTCAGTGGTGCAGGCTCCTTCAGGTATCTTGATGTTCTCCGTTTCCACCTACTCCTTTTATTGTGTATGTGTAATCAGTTGTAGGAGGAGGCAAAATGGTTTATGACAGCATAAGAGTTTTTTTATGATATTTACAGTCACAGCTGGTAGAGAGGAGATAGGTGATCTTTAGACTGTATATTGTATTAACAGTATTCTTCAGCCCAACTTGACACTTTTACGAGAGGATGGACAAAAGATAAGCCTCTTGTTGGGGGGGGGGAAGTCTTGTTAGTTGTAACTAGAAAGTGGTGAGGTTTTAGATGGTCAGATTTTGAGGTAAGGTGAGTATAAGGAACGGTAAATAGGCGTGGTGTGTGAGCAAGTAGAGGTAACCACTACAGTGATAGAGTTCAGGGACCCATACAATGGGTTAAGATCCAGGAGATGTGTTGTGAACTATTTTACTGTTGCATAGATCAGCTATTATTTACACTAATATTAGAGCAGCACTCGTATAACAATCTCTATGTGATCTGTCTGAAAAGGGGGTATAGTGCTTTAGGTAGTGTGCTAAAGGAAAACAAGTGGCGTGTAGTTTAGAGGGTTAGCAAAGCACTGTGGAGGAAAGGACAGGGGGAGCCTGTCTAATAATACAATATACCTACTCAAGACTAAGAAGCCTCTACAGAAAAAGGAGGAATACAGAGATATTATTAAAATATAAAAGAGGTGAAAATAATGAAAAAAAAAAGCATCTCCTCGTGGCTTCTCTGCTATAGGAAGGTGAAGTTTGTTTCTCTGTCTCTACTGTTGAGATGCCCCCTCTTCGGGCATCCCATTCTGGTCCTTTCACAGTTCCTAGTTGTTTGTCTCTTGAGGGTAAAAGGAAACGGAGCAACATACAATCAAATGAAAAGGCAGGAGAGGGGAGGCAAAAGCAATGAGTTTAAGAGGAAAGGGAGAAGGACTAAAACAGGGAAAAAGAAAGGAGAGGCACAAAGTATATAAAGATAAAGCAGTGATAAATTTAAAAATATATAAGGTTACTAAACTAATGCACAAAAAAGTTACTAAAAAAGGAAAAAAACCATAAAAAATTAAAAAAACAAACAAGTAAACAGCAAAAAAACACAAATAAACAATAACAACAACAGAGAAACCCTTCCCTTGTTGGTTTCAAACTGTCCAGACTGGTTTTTCTAGTTGTAGCAGGATCTCTCTGTGTGCTGGGATGCCCGCGCAAGTGCACGCACCAGCCAGGCTACTAGATTGGGGTGTGGGCGCCTGCGCACTTGCTGGGCACACTCCCGGGGCAGTCCGGGACTGCGCAACCCGTGCTTCCCGGTCCACGCCGCCCGGATGCACTTCCCGATCGTAGTGGCGTCAGCCTAGAGTTCTCTGCGCCCCCCCTCATGCGAGAAACCGTCTGGCGCTTCTAGGTCCAGTAGCCCCGGCTCAAAGATCTCTGCGCCAGTGCGCTCAAGAGTCCGGCTTTGCGTGCAAGCAAGAAACCGGCAGGGAGCGTCTTTGTCCTGCGGCGCCTCTCCGAACTCTCTGACCCCGCGAGCTCCTCCTTCTGGGATTGGCGTAATGGGCAGCGGGCTTCCCAGTCCCCTGGTGGTGGCTCAGAGGCCTCCGCTTCCACCAGACCTTCTGGGACCCGGAGTAACTGGCAGGGCGCTTCCCATTCGTGTGGCTAGTCCCCAAATGCCTCCACTTTCCCCTGGCTCGCTGCAAGGCCGGATAGGAAGCAAGCCAAGCTGCCCTGGCAGGAGAACACCTCAGTCCACTTCCAATCAAAACAAAACAAAACAAAACAAAACAAAACAAAACAAAACAAAACAAACAAAACAAAACAAAACTCTCTGGACAGCCTGTGTCTCATTCCGGCTCAGTCCCCAACCAGACCTGTGAGGCTAATGCGTCTCTGGATTCTCCCAGGTTTGCAATCACAGAGTCTGCAGTTGAACCAGGCCCTGTGTCTTTGTACCCCTCCCCAAAAATGCAAGCCGGCAAGCAGACAGGTCTCTGCCTGGTGTTGTCCAGTTTTGCTTATACGGGAAGCGGGGGAGCTTCTGGCCTGCGCTGGTGGCCACTGGAGCCGCTGGGTGCCCAAGCTCCTGTGGTAGACCTCTCTGGTGTTGGTTTCAGACCAATGGTTCTGGACCCCAGCCTGCAGCCACCTGGCCTGAGGCGCCAGCCCCCGCTGCTGCTTTGTCTTTACTCTGGTCCCCAAAGCCCCACTGACCTGCCGCTTTCTGGTGTTTCAGCATCCAACAGAGTCTCTGTTCTTTTAATTTCACAAATGCTGGATAACTGATGGATTAGTGCGCTGCTTTTCTATAGATCTGCCAGGATTTTCACCCATGAGTGCGGGAGCTAGAATCCGCCCCCTCTTACTCCAACGCCATCTTAAACCCCCCTTACCCTTTCCTTTACTACCTTCCCACCCTCTTCCCTCTTAATGCTCCTATATTTAGTTAATATCAATTCTAATTTAATATAGAAATGACCTCTTCAAATACCTACTTAGACTTTGTGTGGGAAGGACTGGAGTGGAGAAAGCAGGAGTAGGGGGGAGACAAATCAAATCACATTTGTAGGCCACACTACAATAGACAGCTACTTACACTTCATAAGGTAAAGTCTTGTTAGATTCTAACATGCAAACTAAGAGATCAGAAAAGATAGGACAACTAATTTGAACTCTCAAGTTTTTCAACAAAGTTGAACCTTCTGACAAATGCTAGATTATTAGAATGACCCACAAGCCTAGAAAGTTAAAGGTAGTTTCTTCATTAAGATAATAAAGACCTTTAGCTGAGAGGAAAAGAGTCAAAGTGACCAGGTATCAGATACACTAATGAACAGTTAGTGAGACAAAATGTTTAATTATCTGTGTATCTTAGGTATATATGACTGTTATTAACTATTATTTTTCCTATCCCTTTGGAAACATACATTTAATTACAATATTAAAAACCAACAAAAGATTGAGTTTCTAACAGAAAAACAAATTCTATCAGAGGCAGTATTACATGGAGTCACCCATTTTTCACACAGATACTGACTTATGCTCCCCACCATAATATTTGATAACAAACATTTTTTGAAAGATTTTATTTATTTACTTTTAGAGAAAAGGAGAGAAACATCAATGTGTGGTTGCCTCTCATGTGTGCCCCCCTGGTGACTGGGCCCACAACCAAGCATGTGCTGTGACTAGGAATCGAACAGGCAACCCTTTGGTTCAAAGGCTGGCACTCAATCCACTGATCCATACCAGCCAGGGCTGATAACAACAAACACTCTATTAAGCATCTATCATGTATCAAGAACTCTGTTAAGGACATGAAAAGATGACTAAGAGAGTAACTGAGCTCAGAGTCTAGGGATGGCTGAAAGGAAAACATAATGGGCCATAAGAAGGAAGACAAGTTCATATGAATGAAAAGCTGGAATTCCATTGTGGGGAAAAGAGGAAAGAGGATGAATGCTTTGGAAAGTGAAATAAAAGTAGACTTCTGCACAGTGTGAAACTGAGAGTTGTTCAATCTTATCAGATTCTGAAGACATCTCTAAAGCCAGCCCCCCCCCAAAAAAAAACTGGCACAAGGACAATGGAACAGCTAAAAATAGGTTATAATTATAGCAAAGAGAACAATGGCCAGCACACACCTGGCCATTGTTATTGTTGAAGTTGCGGAATTACTGCTTGCAATTGCTCTCGACATCAAAGGCTTCCTGATACGAGCTTCTGTGGTAAGGATAGCTTTTCGAGCCCCATTCCACTTTCCTGGGCCCTGTAGACGATATTGGATTGGAGTACAGGGTCCCAATAATAACTGCAATGCCAATTTGGGGTCAGTGAAGGCCAGATATAGCAGACTGGGCTTGACACCCACCAGATCAGCAAGCTCTTCCATGGTATCTATATAATCTCCCTGAATGGTATGGCGTTGGCTCTCCACATACCTGAAGCAGAGAAGACAAAAGCCATGGTCTAATCACAATTTAATCAATTAATCAATCAGTGAATTAATCAGTGCTTTCTAAATGTGTGCTATTGGCTCAATATTGGTCTGGGAGCTGTGAAAAATTAGGGAAGAAAGATAAGACATTGTCTCTATCCTTAAAGACTTTATCATCTGCTGAAGGAGATAAGATAGATACACATGAAATACAGAAGAATATGAGACTTTTGACAAATCGCTTCTGCTAAATAGAAATGTAGAAGAGGGTAGTTAAAATAGAGCTATAACAGAGCTTTGAAGGATGTGGAAATATAGATAAGCTGAGAACAAAGAGGAAAGTATTACCAGTCAAGGAGATAGTAGAGTGAAGGAATAAGGCAGGAATGAGTGAAGAATGTGAATATAAAGTATCTGTAGGCACTACCTACAGTAGAGAAGGAATGTTGCAATAAACAAGGATGGATATAGAGAGGCAAGTATAGTGAATCCAGATACAGAAGACTGATGTTAACAGAAAGAGAGAACACACAAAACTTCAGTTTGGGACCCCTAACTGACAGCAGTGGTGGTGGGTTTCACAGGGCAGGACTTCTGAGAGCCAATGTTAATTCAGAATCATGAAAGAAGGGGGAAGAATGACTTATCCCATAAGAGGAAGTGACTCTCCAAATGGAGTCAGATGGAATGATTACACCAAGTGCAGATTTGAAGATCTAAAAGGGCTTTTTAGAGGGAAATGTGGTAATAAAGATACCTGGGTAGGAGTAGGTTTAGAGAGCTGACTGGCAACTTTCTTTTTTTACTTAATACAATAAAAATAAAAGACAGGACAGTGGGATAGACAGGAAGAGAAAAGCCAAGTCAAATTAATTAAGATTAGACGGGCTTATTAAAAGAATCCAAAAACAAGGACAGTAAAAAAAAATAGAAAATAAATTTAAGGTAGAATTGGTGAAATGGAATTACACAGGAACTGACAAATTCTAAAGTTCAGAAGAGAAGTTAAGATAGGAAGGAATCTGGGAGTCCTTCCTTAAGGATGTTACATTGGCTCAAGGGTTTATAGACATGCATTTATCCTATAGTACTGGTATGTATTCATGAATCTTCCACAAGCTGTAGTATTCATGAATCTTTCACAAAGAGATTCAATGGCACCTGCCTTGTAGGGTTTTTATGAGGAATAAATAAACTCACACATACAAACCATTTAGTATATGTACATAGTTGATCCTCAATAAAGGGTAAATTATATCCTTAGGGACTACACAGTCAGAAGGCAGCCAGACAAAAATAGGGAAATAAGGGAAGGGTAAAATTGAAATTGGATATTTAGTACCAGAAAAACAAGAAAATAAAGTACTCCAAGAAGGATGAGAAAGATGAAATGTTCAAAAGTGTCAAACTGAGAGAGGAAGGAAAATGAAGTCGGTCATGGATGACCTTTAAGAAAGCAGTAGCAGAAGTTATACTGTAGGGAGCTTAGGAGAAAGAAAGGTTGAGAATTTAGAGCATATGGTGCTGAATATTTATTGCAGAAGTCTGATAGTGAAAACAAGGAGAAAGTAGAGTATCTGGAAAAGGCATAAGGGCTAAATAAAAACTCTCTTTCTCCTCCTCCAAGATAAGGAAGAGTTATGCTAATATAACCATTTAAAGAAAACCACACAGTTAGGCCTGGAGTGATTGTGCCTCTGACTTTTACACAAAATTTTAGGAACTTATCATCAACTTCTATTTCATCCAAATAAAAATCAACCAGTCAATAAGCTCAGGTCTGAAATTCAGATTGCTGAATTATTGTATCCACCCAAGCACTAAGCAGCACCTTTCCAAATCATGAGCCACTGTGACCTGAATGTGCTGTTACATGATGACGGCCCACAAAGAGGCCTCTGCAGATTTGTAAGTCTTCCTGCAGATTTAGAATTCAACCATATATACTGCTTAACTCTTTGTCACTTTTCCTTTCTCTGGCAGCTCTACAAGCACTTCAAGTAAACCTTGCAAAAACCATATATATGCCTGACTTTCTCTCCATATACTTTTTAATACGTGACTTTTCTTTTAGGCCCTACATGTATGATTTTAAATACTTTTCTTAAGCTTCTTTATTCTTCAGCCATATCCAAATCACTTGGTGCTATTTTTCCATTCTATTATCAGAAACTATTATTTCCTTTTCCTTCAAAATATAATCTAAATCCTTAAACTAACATGATAAAGATAAATATAGTAAAATACTGTTCTTATTAAGTAGAATAATTTAGCACATACTTTCCTGGGAGAATTTCTCACCTTTTTTCAATTTGCTCTTTAGCCTTAGTTATTTCTATTATCATTTCACTTTGTGAAGGTAATGCTTTTAGCCCTAAAGAGAAAAAATAAAAATTTTAGTGTAAAGTTACTTCAGTAAGAACAATAATTCTATTAACAATTACTATGTTATGGAGGATTCAAAAAAAATTACAGGATAGTTTTCTGCACTCAAGGAGGTTACACTTTACCTCCATCACCTTACCCTACTACTACCATAATATAATGATATTAACCTCAGTAGCTTTCTCTATTTTACTTTATCTTTAGAAGGCATTTCTCTTAACTCTGCTTTCTGATACCTGCTTCCTACTTAGCATAGTCTTTCAATTGGGAAATGAAATATGGATACAAAGAAATGATAAATGGCCTTAAAGTACATGGAAATGAAGTACAAAGTAAAAGGGCATGGAGAACACACCTACAGTTGTACTCTTAATAACAAAGAGGACTTATACCACAGGGATAAAGAAGTAAAAATTAACTTTCATCCCATTTCATGCCTAAAGTCCTATGGAAGAAAAGCTTCATCTTCTAAACTTTTTTACTTGGTCAGAATGAGGGTAAGACCAAGGGCAACTCATAATACTCAATTTTTACAGATGAACTTAAGCACTGATGAACAAACAGTTTCAATAGTAGGAATTTAACATCACAAACCTGGACAGAGAAAGGTTGAATTAGTATTTAAGTCAACATAAACAACTCTGATCTAAAGATTAGCTTTATGTCAAGATTTATAGGTACTATGCCTGGTAGATAATTTTAGCCACACCCAACCAGAAGGTTTTACTCCAGAATATTCTAAATAGTATAATTTTAAAATGATAATATATCATACCTAATACACATCTTCCCTGTGCAAATACTTTAATCAAATGGTTATCTCTTTTCTCCTTAAACATTTCTGCTGGTGGGGGTCTCATTACCTTCTGAGGAGATGGTTTTTAATTGGCTGCTGTAGCTGCTAGAAACATATTCCATTTATTGACCCTAAAATCTACTTCCATGCAACTTGCTCCACTGGACTTAGCTCTGCCTTTTCAAACCAAGGAATCTAATCTTAAATGACAGGCCTTCAAACATCTGAAAACAAATTATCATAATTTCTTCAAGTCTTATCATCAACAGCAGTGTACTAGTTCCTCACATAACAGGTTTTACATGCCCTGCCATGTTGGTTGCCCTTCTCTGGGCAACATTAGTTGCTATCCTAGCGTGTCTCTCTTAAAATGTGAAACTCAGAAATTCAACACTCAAGAAATAGCCTTCTGTGTTTTGCCATGTGTTTTCTCATTTTACCCTTGGGAATTATTACTTATATTCATATGTCAGTGAGGAAACATTGAAATGCTTCATTTGAGATTGAGCACATGTCCCTTGCAATGTTCATGAAACATATTTTAAGAGTTGATTTCCAAATTACTTATAGTAGCATAACTTTTACTTCTATTTACTAGAAACATTATGGGGAAGGGGGTATGTTTCTTGACTGGGAGAGGCAAGCAATTCATCAAAAACAACAAAGAAAAAACTTCTATAAATTAGATAGATATATACACATACACACAATATCCTGTGGTGCAATTCTTTCTCAATTCATTAATACTGCTCTTGTAGAGTTTCCTTGTTCAGACACATAATATACTTTTACCATATATTTTTTTTATTTCCCATCTTCTTATCTTGCTCCCCCTCTTAGGTTACCAATTTAAAGACCACAGCACCTGAGCCTATTCTTTTTTTTTTTGCTTTCATCTCCAACCTATATTCCATCAGCAAACCTTTTAAATTCACCAATGACAGAACTAAGGGGAATTAAGAAATGGTAGAACTTTAGCCCTGGCTGGTGTAGCTCAGTGGATTGAGCACAGGCCTAGGAACAAAAGGATCGAGGTTCAATTCCCAGTCAGGGCACATGCCTGGGTTGCAGGCCAGTTCCCAGCAGGGGATGCATGAGAGGCAACCATACACTGATGTTTCTTTTCCTCTCTCCTTCCCTTCCCTCTAAAGATAAATAAATAAAATCTAAAAAAAAAAAAAAAAAAAAAAGAAATGATAGAACTTTGGGAAATTCTTTGGAAAGGTTTTTGATTTATCAACTGTAATACCATTATTTCTGTTTTTCCTCTGCTACCATAAAGATATGCACTAGGGAAGAAGAAACTGTAATTCCAGCAAGAACTCTGGATAGTTTTAATTAAACATTAGTAATGATAGTAAGTTTTACTGTAACCATTATAGAATCAAATTCTTATATTTCTCCCTGTTCTGGGTTTGAATCTACTTCATATTGACCTAGCCAAATGGCCACCCAGCCTTTTTCATTCTCTTCCTATTCTGTTTGGATTCCACACAATTTCAGAGGCAGCCCATTCCATCATGAAATGGTACCAGATGATAGAAAAAAGTTTGTTTTTAATATTAAGCTGATATCATGCAATCCTCAAAGTTTCACTCTTTGGTCCTTGTGCAACCCTTTGAAGTGATACTGAGCAAATTAAGTCCTGCCATGGGACATCTCTTCAGATATTTCAAAGGAACTCTCATATCTCCCCTGAATCTTATCTGCTCTAGGCTAAACCTATCTACCTTCTTCAGTTATTCTTCAAGTGGCATATCTTCAAATCTCTTAACCACTCTTGCCTCTCCTATTAATGCACTACAATTTCACTTTTAAAACATGCCTTTGGGTTTACTCTGACCAGTTTAGAGAAGAACAATTGTAAATTCTAATTTTTTAGAATTTACAAGAATTGTAATTCTAATGACATTATACTTTTTTAATGATGCTAGATATAATTAAGCCTTTTGAAAGACATATTCACCTCACTCACACTAAGCCTAGTATCTCAAACCCCAAAGTTTTAATTTTTTTCTCTTGGATAAATTCTCTTAGCCAAGACTGAAAGAGAAGATATAAAGGGGGGAAAGTGAGAATTTGAGAGGTTGAATCTTCTCATTCTGGACTAATCTTTAACCAGGTCTCAAATCATATCATTAAATCATACCATTTCTGTTCACAAATATGTATCAGCTGTCTAAAATCTAGATGAGTAGATTCTGCACATTGGAATTACCCAAGTAACATTTTTTCAATGATCTCAAGGTCTCCCTGATCCTGAACTTACAAAATAGACACCACCAGGCAAAGCATGCCTATTTTGGGACAATTTCTCAGGAGATTACAATATATGTCCATGGCTATAAATAACTACTTTATAGTCACTCAAAAATTGATTATGGAACACTAATTTTGTGTCAGGCATTATAATATTTATATATACTGTGTCAGCTACTTAAAAGCAAGAACATAAATATAATTAAACATGCTACCAATTGATTAAGTAGTCACCTTGCATGGTTACTTACCTTTAAATACTTGAGTGACCCAGCGTCCTTGGAGCTCTGAAATGGGCATAATGGCACCCAAGGGCTGAATCAAGCCTATGATTGCAAGAGTTGGTTTTTCCAGATTAGGCGGGAAGACCTTTTTATACAGAGATATCTTGTTCTTTACTACTTTGACAGAAGTTTCAAGAAAAGGAAAAGCAAAACTATAGCCCGTGGCAAAGATAACAGCATCAATGTCATCCTCCCTGGAACCATCTTCAAATATGGCAGCTGTCTCTGTGAATTCCTTCACATTTCCTTTTACCTTCACCAAGCCAGAAATTATACGATTTGGCAGGTCATCATTGATGGTTGGATGTTGACTCAGAGCTCTGTGAGTAGTGATAAAGACCAAAAAGGAGGAGAAATGAAAGTGATCATGGGGGCATGTAGGGAGAGAGAAATCAGTAATATGTAAGTAAAATTTTACTTTGCTGGAAGTGGTTAAACAGTATGCCGATGGTCTCCCTTCTGGTCTACCCATGGGATTTGGCAAAGGTTTAATGCATTTTGGTAGAGATCAAGATCTCAGAGCAGAAGTTGGACCCTGGATGGCATTGGAAGGAAAGATGTTGGAAAATGAAGTGAAAGATGTTGGAGGGTGCATGTATAGTACTCAAGGAATAGTGTCCTCAGTTATATAGTAGGGCAACAGGCAATAATTTTTATCTGTATGAAAAGAATACAGAATTGGACTATCAGCATTCTGTTGAGTTTCATTTCTAGTTTCAAAGGCCCAAGAGCTAAACCTAGAATATTATTTTTTAAACTGTATAATAAATTACGTGTGCATAGTAATTTATAGTTATAAGTTGATTTTACATACACTTAAATTTGAGTCTCACACAAGCCCAATAAAGAAAGCAGGACAACCCTGGCTTGTGTAGCTCAGTGGATTGAGTGTGGGACTGCGAACCAGACAATTGTGGTTCAATTCCCAGTCAGGGCACATGCCTGGGTTGCAGGCTGGTTCTCTGCAGGTCAGTTCCCAGAAGGGGACACACAAAAGGCAACCATACATTGATGTTTCTCTCCCTCTCTCCTTCCCTTCCCCTCTAAAGATAAATAAATAAAGTCTTAAAAAAAAAAAGAAAGCAGGACAAGTGTCATTATCCAGGCTTTGTAGATGAGAAAACTGAGACATAAAGAAGTGGCTTGCCCAAGGTCACACAGCCTAAAATTTTTTAATTTATAATAAAATAGTTTTCTATGAACTTCCTTGTGTTTCCTAGAGATATCATAGGACAAGGATGCCAAAAAACTAGGCAGGGTTTCCAGTGTGTTGGACCTTTCTAAAAAGCAGTCTGGATCCTTGGTCCCTAAGTTAACAGGCTCTGAGAATCCTCAGCCCATCATGTTCAGACAGAGCTGGCCTAGCCTCAGGAATATGATATGTTTAAATAACTTACTGGTTTGTTGCATTTAGTTATGCTTTGACTCGAAGCTTTTACATACAGGATCTGTTCTCGTTTCAACCTCATGATTTCATCTTTTTCTCCAAACTAACCCCTTTTGACATAATTAATTTACTATTATGTCACCCACTTGTTTAAAATCTTACAATGGATCTGTACTGTCTTCATTCCAAACTTTTTATTTAGCAAATACTACAGAAGTTTACTTGGATCTGCCCAGTGAGCCTGGAAATGTGCTCAGTCACTCTTCCATCTTTCCCAGATACTCTAGTCAAACCAGACAACATGCAGGCACCAGAGCACTTTTGCTATTTTAAGACCTTGTACTTACAAGTAGAATGCTGCTTTTTCACCCTATTTGCTTAACTATCCCCTATTATGAAATAAAGTCTCAATTTATTTTGTAATTACTGAAGTTACAGATGCTACAGTTTCCATAATTTGGGTGAAATAAATGGGTGAAAGGTGTTGGGGAACAGAGCTTCAAAATATCACCCCACTCAAAAGAAAAAAATCTTTGCAGAGGAGAAACCTGTTTGATATCACCTTATCCAAGTGATTAAATTTAACATTGATATGGAATAAATTGATGTCATGTGGCCCCTGACGTGATCTACCAAGGCACAACACAACCTATGAACATTCGTGCCCAAAATGTTTAACTTGAATATAATAAAGGAAGTCCAAACATACTGACTTTCTGCAAAACAATTTAGCTTGGATTTTTAAAAAAGAATTTTCAGGGACTTCCGCCAAGATGGAGGTTTAGGTGGATATGCTGTGCCTCCTCACAAAACCAAGTTTAGGGACAACTAAATATTAGCATCAGAAAACACAACCAGAACACGGAAAACTGAACTTTTCGGAAGTCCGCTAACAACAAATTCTTCAGCCCGACCAGTAAGGGGCGAAACCGGCATCTGGTGAGGAGCTGCAAGGGAGGGCTCGGTCACACCCGGGCGCAGAATCCAGACGCGCGAATCCAGACACACGGGTTCCAAACCCAGGATTGGACCTAGTGAGCGACCGAGCAACCCACCGGGTGAGCGACTGCAGAGGAGACAGTGGGGAGGCGGTGGCAGCGAGTTGACTGCAGTTGCCTAATTGCGCGCGAGCGAAGGAGTGGGCGGTTGGACTGGCCGCAGGGGCGATAGAGGGCGCCGCCATTTCCCCGCTCTGACCACGCCCCCACATACAGCGTCACAACCCAGCGACCTGGGACTCCAAGGCGCAGTTTCTCACATTTAAAGGGCCAGAACAGACCAAAAATGTCGCAGGGAGACCTCAAAGCCCCAGAGATAAATCTAAGTGACGAAGAAATAGCAAAACTCTCAGACGCACAGTTTAAAACACTGGTCATCAGCTTCCTCACAGATCTGGTGGATTATAGCCACAAATTAGAGAAACATATGAAGGCTAAATTAAGGGAAATGAATGGAATTCCACAGGAAACCCATAGAGATGAAAAGGAAACTGGGACTCAAATCAATGGAGTGGACCAGAAGAAACCAAATAATGGCCAAACAGAAAAGAGTCAAGGAGCAAGAATTCAAAGAAATGAGGAGAATCTTAGAAACCTCCAGGACATCTTTAAATGCTCCAATATCCGAATTATAGGGGTACCAGAAGGGGGAAAGACACAACCACCAGTGGAAAAACTATTTGAACAAATAATAAAAGAAAATTTCCCCAATCTGGCAAAGGAAATAGACTTCCAAGAAATCCAAGAAGCCCAGAGAGTACCAAAAAAGTTGGACTCAAGAAGAAACACACCAAGGCATATCATAATTACATTAGCCAAAATTAAAATGAAGGAGAGAATCCTTGAAGCAGCAAGAGCTAAGGGGACAGTCACCTACAAAGGAGTCCCCATCAGACTGTCAGCAGATTTCTCAAAAGAGACCTTACAGGCAAGAAGGGGCTGGAAAGAGGTATTCCAAGTCATGAAATCCAAAGACCTACAACCAAGATTGCTCTATCCAGCAAAACTTTCATTTAGAATGGAAGGACAGATAAGGTGCTTCTCAGATAAGATCAAATTCAAGGAGTTCATCATCACCAAGCCCTTATTATATGAAATGTTAAAGGGACTTATCTAAGAAAAAGAAGTTAAAGAAACATGAACAGTGAAAGAACAACAAACTCACAGTTATTAACAACCACACCTAAAACGAAAGCAAACTAAAAGAACAGCTAGATCAGGAGTGGAAATATAGAAATGAAGATCTCAAGGAGGGTTAGCAACAGGGGAGTGGGAGGAGGAGATGGGGGAGAAGGTACAGAAAATAAGTAGCATAGACAGTAGATAGAAAATAGATGGGGGGGGGGCAAGAATAGCATGGGAAATATAGAACCTAAAGGACTTGAGACACATGAACATAAACTAAAGGGGGGTAATGGTGGGGTTGGGGGGGCAGGGTGGAGGGGAATGAAGGGGGGAATAGAACAACTGTAACAGCATAATCAATTAAAAAAATAAATTAATTTAAAAAAAAAAGAATTTTCAGATTAAGAGAAATTAAAGAAACATGACAGCTAAATGCAATGGTGTAATACCTGATAAGATCCTGGATTTAAAAATTAAAAAGCTATAAATATGTATTATTGGGGCAACTTGGTAAATTTGAATACATTATATAATGGTATTTTGTCAATGTTAAATTTTCCAAGTGTGATTATAGTATTATGTTTATACAGGAGAATGCCTTTTTTCTTAGGAAATATATGCTGAATAATTTAATTTAGGGTATAGTGTTTTAGTAATTGCAACTTACTATTAAGTGGTTCAGAAAAAACATGTATGTGTACATGTATGCAGTATACATGATGTACATGTACAAATCTATCTTCAAAGAAGGGGAGAGAAAAAGCAATATAGTGAACTATTAATAGTAGGTGAATCTAAGTGAAGAGTATATGGGTGTTCATTGTATTTACCATTTTGTATCTGAATATTTAAAATATAAAAAGTTGGTGGGGAAAAAAATCATTTAAAATCTGCCCCTAGAAATGCTTTCACAGACTCCATCCATGGCTGTGAGGACTCCCACCCTTCATGCTCTCACAACATGCATGCATTCCTTTATCTTATTCTATCATGTCTTCCTATTAGAGTATTTAAGGCAAAATACATTTCTTGAATCTGCCATTTACTTCCTTTTTAATATTGTGCTAATTAATTTCTTAATGTCATTTTTTGTATTAGTAAAATGGAAAGTGCCAACCTATTAACTCCTCAGAAAGGTAAGATGTTATTATTTGTATTAGTATTACTATTAGGTTTTTAATCTCTGTCTGCTCATGCCCAGTATAATGCTTGGTTCATAAGAGGTGCTCAATGTTTGTTGGATGAATGAATGAATGAGTGAATGATGCACTGCCCTCTACTGCCATTTTGTTGTTAGACATCACGTATAAAAACAAAAAACAGAGGACTTCCACCAAGATGGAGGCTTAGATGGAAACACTTTGCTTCCTTGCACAACCAAATCTAAAAACAACAAAGTTTTAACAACAATAAATGCAACCGAACCACACAGAAAATCAAATATGGAGTCTGAAAACTAAGAACCACCCAGCTAAACTGGTGAGAGGGGTAAAGGCAGCAGCAGGGTGGGTTGGGAAAAAAAAACTCCCAACCTGGGCGGTATGCAGGCAGCAGAGGGAAGGAATCCCAGGTGCAGGGTAGCTACCGGCAGAACCAGGGACAAATCTGCGCGGCTGGCTGGCTGTGGTCAGTCATGCATTTGCATGCAGATCAACAGGCGGGGGTGAGCGGTGAGGACTGCCATTGCTCCCTCTCTGACCCTGCCCCCACAGACAGCATCAAAACCCAGTAACCTGGGTGGCCCCGCCCTGGGGAACACCTAAGGCGCCTCTCCTCACATGTAACAGGCACGAACAGATCAAAACATGGCTCAAGAAGAACTCAAAGCCCCAGAGCTGATAAATCTAAGCGAGGAAGAAATAACTAAACTTTCAGATGCACAGTTCAAAACACTGGTGATCAGGATGCTCACAGAACTGGTTGATTTTAGTCACAAATTAGAGGAACATATGAAAGCTAAACTAATTGAAATGAATGGTAATGCACAGAAAACCAATAGTGATGGAAATTCATTTGGGAATTTCCACTGGGACTCAAATCAAGGGAGCAGACCAAAAGGAAGGAAAAAATGACCAAACAGAAAAATATGAAGAAACAAGAATTCAAAAAAACGAGGAGAGGCTAAGGAACCTCCAGGACATCTTTAAATGCTCCAACATTCGAATTATAGGGGTAGCACAGGGGGAAGAGGAACAGTCATGAGTGGAAACCTTATTTGAACAAATAATAAAAGAGAACTTCCCCAATCTGGCAAAGGCAATAGACTTCCAGGAAATCCAGGAAGCTCAGAGAGTCCCAAAGAAGTTGGACCCAAGAAGAAACACACCAAGGCACATCATCATTACATTAGCCAAGATTAAAATGAAGGAGAGAATCCTTGAAGCAGCAAGAGCTAAGGGGACAGTCACCTACAAAGGAGTTCTCATCAGACTGTCAGCTGATTTCTCAAAAGAGACCTTACAAGCAAGAAGGGGCTGGAAAGAAGTATTCCAAGTCATGAACACCAAAGACCTACAACCAAGATTGCTCTATCTAGCAAAGCTTTCATTTAGAATGGAAGGACAGATAAAGTGCTTCTCAGATAAGACCAAATTTAAGGAGTTCATCATCACCAAGCCCTTATTATATGAAATGTTAAAGGGACTTATCTAAGAAAAAGAAGATAAAAAAGATGAACAGTGAAAGGATAGCAAACTCACAGCTATTAAGAACCACACCTGAAACAAAAGCAAATTAAGAGGACAGCTAGATCAGGAGTGAACCATAGAAATGAAGATCACATGGAGGGTTAGCAACAGGGGAGTGGGAGAAGGAGAAGGGGGGAGAAGGTACAGAAAATAAGTAGCATAGATGGTAGGTAGAAAATAGATAAGGGGGAGGGTAAGAATAGTATGGGAAATATAGAATCTAAAGAACTTGAGACACGTGTTCATGAACTAAAGGGGGGGAATGGTGGGAGAGGGGTGTGCAGGGTGGAGGAGAATGGAGGGGGGGAAATAGAACAAATGTAATGGCATAATCAATAAATTTTTTTTTAATTTATTTATTTTTTTGAATTGATTATGCTGTTACAGTTGTTCTATTCCCCCCTTCATTCCCCTCCACCCCTGCCCCCCAACCCCACCATTACCCCCCTTTAGTTTATGTCCATGTGTCTCAAGTCCTTTAGGTTCTATATTTCCCATACTATTCTTGCCCCCCCCCATCTATTTTCTATCTACTGTCTATGCTACTTGTTTTCTGTACCTTCTCCCCCCATCTCCTCCTCCCACTCCCCTGTTGCTAACCCTCCTTGAGATCTTCATTTCTATGTTTCCACTCCTGATCTAGCTGTCCTTTTAGTTTGCTTTCGTTTTAGGTGTGGTTGTTAATAACTGTGAGTTTGTTGTTCTTTCACTGTTCATGTTTCTTTAACTTCTTTTTCTTAGATAAGTCCCTTTAACATTTCATATAATAAGGGCTTGGTGATGATGAACTCCTTGAATTTGGTCTTATCTGAGAAGCACCTTATCTGTCCTTCCATTCTAAATGAAAGTTTTGCTGGGTAGAGCAATCTTGGTTGTAGGTCTTTAGATTTCATGACTTGGAATATTTCTTTCCATCCCCTTCTTGCCTGTAAGGTCTCTTTTGAGAAATCTGCTGACAGCCTGATGGGGACTCCTTTGTAGGTGACTGTCCCCTTACCTCTTGCTGCTTCCAGGATTCTTTCCTTCATTTTAATTTTGGCTAATGTAATTATGATATGCCTTGGTGTGTTTCTTCCTGAGTCCAACTTTTTTGGTACTCTCTGGGCTTCTTGGATTTCTTGGAAGTCTATTTCCTTTGCCAGATTGGGGAAATTTTCTTTTATTATTTGTTCAAATAGTTTTTCCACTGGTGGTTGTGTCTTTCCCCCTTCTGGTACCCCTATAATTCGGATATTGGAGCGTTTAAAGATGTCCTGGAGGTTCCTAAGCTTCTCCTCATTTTTCTGAATTCTTATTTCTTCATTCCTTTCTGTTTGATCATTTTTTTCTTCCTTCTGGTCCACTCCATTGATTTGAGTCCCAGTTTCCTTTTCATCTCTATGGGTTTCCTGTGGAATTCCATTCATTTCCCTTAATTTAGCCTTCATATGTTTCTCTAATTTGTGGCTATAATCCACCAGATCTGTGAGGAAGCTGATGACCAGTGTTTTAAACTGTGCGTCTGAGAGTTTTGCTATTTCTTCGTCACTTAGATTTATCTCTGGGGCTTTGAGGTCTCCCTGCGACATTTTTGGTCTGTTCTGGCCCTTTAAATGTGAGAAACTGCGCCTTGGAGTCCCAGGTCACTGGGTTGTGATGCTGTATGTGGGGGCGTGGTCAGAGCGGGGAAATGGCGGCGCCGTCTATTGCCGCTGCCGCCACCGCCGGTCCAACCACTCACTCCCTCACTCGCGCGTAATTAGGCAACCACAGTCAACTCGCTGCCACCGCCTCCCCACTGTCTCCTCTGTAGTCACTCACCCGGTGGGTTGCTCGGTCGCTCACTAGGTCCAATCCTGGGTTTGGAACCCGTGCGTCTGGATTCGCGCGTCTGGATTCTGCGCCCGGGTCCGACCGAGCCCTCCTTTGTAACTCCTCACCAGACGCCGGTTTCGCCCCTTACCGGTCGGGCTGAAGAATCTGTTGTTAGCGGACTTCCGAAAAGTTCAGTTTTCCGTGTTCTGGTTGTGTTTTCTGATGCTAATATTTAGTTGTCCCTAAACTTGGTTGTGTGAGGAGGCACGGCACATCCACCTAAACCTCCATCTTGGCGGAAGTCCAATAAAATTTTAAAAAACACAAAAAACGAGTACCTAGGAAATGATCAGATGGTTAATGCCAAGGAATATCATAGATATAAGATTACAGACATATACAGACCAATGTTGGGTATCTGTAGGGCAAGGTAGAAATATGATCTCAGATTTTATGGATTTTCTTAATGTGTAGAGGTAGCTCTACTATTAGCCTATTTGAACAGTCCTTATTTTTGTGGTTTGGTTATTGCTGTCCCAATCCCATCCTGAGAACATACCTGTGTTCAGGCTTTAGGCCATACATTTCATGGTTAAACCTTTGGTTCATCCTTTTTTCCAAGTACATGTTTGTAAGTGACTGACCACAAATCTTCATAAAAAAATGTTTCAGTCGAGAATGGTACAACACATCAAAAGGATATCCATGGTCTGCCACACGATTCAGGATCCAAGCCCCTCTCCTGGTGCTGAGGAAAACCTGGGGCATGGGAAAAACTTGTTTGCTTTGACCATTCTCTGGTTCATAATCCTTTAAAAGTATCCCATTTTCTTCAAAGTACATTTAACTCAGTAGTCTGGCTTTTCAGTGCCTGCACAATTCTTCTCAGACACTAAGCTTACAATTAAATTGATGTATTCACTGACCAAGAATCTATCTTGCTCTAAACCACCACTGCATTTCCGTTTAATGTCATTATGCCTCCCTGAAAAGCCCACTATTCTCTTAATTCTGCAAAGCTTATTCATTTTTAAGATCCAGATCAAGTCTGCCTCCTCCATGAAGACACTGCAGATTGTTCTGGCTGACAGTTTTCTTTCTATCTTTTGAACTTTCTAGCACTTACCACCTGTTCAACTCATTTAAAATCATGGAACAACAAAGCTGAAAGCAACTGTAGATCATTTAATTAAAAACCCTCAGTATTATCAGTGGGTGAGTGGAAGGGGGAGACAGAGGGAAAAGGTACAGAGAATAAGTAGTATAAATGGTAGGTAGAAAATAAACCAGGGGAAGTTAAGAATAGTATAGAAAATGTAGAAGCCAAAGAACATATATGTATGACCCATGAACATGAAATAAAGGAGGAGAAATGCAGGTGGGAGGGGGTGTGCAGGGTGGAGGGGAATAAAGGGGTAAAAATGGGAAAACTGTAATAGCATAATCAATAAAATATATTTTAAAAAACCTATCAGTCTCTTTTGCCTTTGACATTGTGTTATTACAAAAAATCTGTTATTTATCATTTATATTGCTATTATTAAACTTTTTTCTTTCAACTGTGTAAAAGTGTTTAATTATGATAGCTCTTAAGGTCACACCATCAGTGAAAATATATGTGTGAAGTTAAACACTCTTATTTTCTGTCCCTCCAAATGTTTTCTTCAGAGTGGAAGAAAATTTGTACAGCATACAAATCTTTCAGTCTTGCCAACACACATCATCATATCACTTCCATTTATTGAGATTTGTCACCTATAAGTCACTATGCTAGGTCCTTTACCTGAATTTTTAAATTTTTTTTTTAGATTTTATTTATCTTTAGAAGGGAAGGAAAGGAGAGAGGGAGAGAAATATAAATGTATGGTTGCTTCTCGTGCATCCCCTGCTGGGAATTTGCCCCTCCTGGGAACTGGCCTGCAACCCAGGCATGTGCCCTGACTGGGAATTGAACTACAATCCTTTGGTTCACAGGCCCATGCTCAATCCACTGAGTTACACCTGAGGACTTATCTGCATTTTATTTAATCAACACAACAGCCTTTTGAGGAGGTATCATTATCCACATTTTATGGGTGACAAGCATGGAGAAGATGCATAACTTGCCTCAGATCATACAGCTAGTAAATGGCAAAGCTGAATTTCTAATGCCACGTCTGTACTTAAGAAATATTTCATTGATTACTTAATTGAAAAACTGAAGATTGCTAGTAGAATAATAGGAAACTAGCCAGTCATTTTATGACATTTGCTGGCTAAAGTCCATGTTCAGAGCTGATAAAAGTTTGACTCAGTAGTCTGGCTTTTCAGCCAGCACAATTCTTCTCAGACACTAAGCTTACAATTAAATTGTTATATTCAGAAGGATGCTGGGAAGATGGAGACAGAGTAAGATGGAGCTGATGCTAGCTCCTGTATTCATGGGTGAAAATCCTGGCAGATCTATAGAGAAACAGCACAATAAACCATCGGTTACCCAGCATTTATGAAATTAAAAGACCAGAGATTGTGACTGACGCTGAAACACCAGACGGTGGCAGAGTCAACCACTGGAGCTGGGTCTCACGCGGCCCCTGTGCTGCCGCCAGAGCAACAGGCCTGGGAGCCAGGGAGTAAGGTACGGAAGCCGGACACTCCAAGCCCCTGTGACAGTCCTGGGAGACAGAGGAGTCAGGAACCGGAGCGGGGACAATCTTGGCCCTTGTGCCGATGCCATAGCTACCAGCCTGGGCAATGGAAGGGTCAGTTGCAGGGGCTGGGACACCAAAGGCCCCTGTGAGGCCGCCAATAGAGACCGGCATGGGCCCTGAGGAGCCAGCTACGGGAGCTGGGACGTTCAGAGATCCTGTGCCGCTGCCATAGCGACGGGACTGGACGCCGGGAAGTCAGGTACGGAAGCCGGGACACTCCAAACCTGAGACAGCCCTGGGCGGCAGAGAAGCCCTCTACGGGAACTGGGATGTTCTCAGCCCCTGTGCCACTGCCATAGAGACAGGACTGGACACTGAGGAATCGGTGGGAGTAGGGAATTTGCCTGCCATAGAGACAGGACTAGACTCCGGGGAGTCAGGTACGGAAACCAGGACACTCCAAACTCCTGTGACAGCCCTAGGCGGCAGAGAGAGCCAGATATGGGAGCCAGGACATTCCCAGCCTCTGTGCCGCTGCCGTAGTAACGGGCCTGGGTGCTTGAGGAGGCGCCAACTAGAGCCAGGACATTCAGCAGTGGTAGGCGACCAACACAGGGACCAGCGCGAGGACCAGTGCGAGTGTAGGTGCAGACGAAGAACATCAAGAAATTTCAAGGAGTCTGCACCACTGAACTTCACAAGGATCATACCACAGAAGTTTACACCATAAAACCAGGGTTTCAGAACAGATGAATTTTAGAAGCAGAGACTAACAAGAAGAGTCTCAAACAATGGGAATACAAAGAAACAATCCCAGACTTCCGCCAAGATGGAGGCATAGGTGGATGTGCCATGCCTTCTCACAAACCAAGTTTAGAGACAACTAAATATTAGCAACAGAAAACACAGCCAGAACACGGAAAATTGAACTTTTCGGAAGTCCGTTAACAACAAATTCTTCAGCCTGACCGGTAAGGGGCGAAACCAGCGGCTGGTGAGGGGTTGCACAGGAGGACTCGGTCAGACGGACTCAGGCGCGGAATCCAGATGCGCGGAATACAGGCGCAGGGTTGGACCTAGTGAGTGACCGAGCGAGCCACCAGGTGAGCGACCACCAAGGAGACAGCGGGGAAGCGGTGCTGCGTGTTGACTGTGGTCACCCATTTGTGTGTGAGTGGACAGGCGAGAGAGTGGGCGGTTGGACGGGGCCCCGGCGATCCCCGTGGCAAGCGGCAGTAGAGGGCGCAGCCATTTCCCCGCTCTGACCACGCCCCCACGTACAGCGTCACAACCCAGCAACCTGGGAGTCCAAGGCACCGCCTCTCACACTTAAAGGGCCAGAACAGACCAAAAATGTCGCAAGTTCTCATGGCCCCAGAGCCCATAGATCTAAGCGATGAAGAAATAGCAAAACTCTCAGACGCACAGTTTAAAACACTGGTCATCAGGATCCTCACAGAACTGGTTGATTATACCGACAAATTAGACAAATATATGAAGGTGAAACTAATTGAAATGAACGGAATTGCACAGGACACCAATAGCAATGAAAAGGAAACTGGGTCTCAAATCAATGGAGTGGACCAGAAGAAAGCAAATAATGGCCAAACAGAAGAGTCAGGAAGCAAGAATTCAAAGAAATGAGGACAGTCTTAGGAACCTCCAGGACATCTTTAAACGCTACAACATCGGAATTATAGGGGTACCAGAAGGGGGAAAGGCACAGCCACCAGTGGAAAACTTATTTGAACAAATAATAAAGGAGAATTTCCCCAATCTGGCAAAGGAAATAGACTTCCAAGAAATCCAGGAAGCTGAGAGAGTCCCAAAGAAGTTGGACCCAAGAAGGAACACACCAAGGCATATCATAATTACATTAGCCAAAATTAAAATGAAGGAGAGAATCCTTGAAGCAGCAAGAGCTAAGGGGACAGTCACCTACAAAGGAGTTCTCATCAGACTGTCAGCAGATTTCTCAAAAGAGACCTTACAGGCAAGAAGGGGCTGGAAGGAGGTATTCCAAGTCATGAAAACCAAAGACCTACAACCAAGATTGCTCTATCCAGCAAAACTTTCATTTAGAATGGAAGGACAGATAAGGTGCTTCTCAGATAAGATCAAATTCAAGGAGTTCATCATCACTAAGCCCTTATTATATGAAATGTTAAAGGGACTGACCTAAGAAAAAGAAGTTAAAGAAACATGAACAGTGAAAGGACAACAAACTCACAGTTATTAACAACCACACCTAAAACGAAAGCAAACTAAAAGGACACCTAGATCAGGAGTGGAAACGTAGAAATGAAGATCTCAAGGAGGGTTAGCAACAGGGGAGTGGGAGGAGGAGATGGGGGGAGAAGGTACAGAAAATAAGTAGCACAGACAGTAGATAGAAAATAGAAGGGGGGCAAGAATAGCATGGGAAATATAGAATCTAAAGGACTTGAGACACATGGTCATAAACTAAAGGGGGTAATGGTGGGGAAGGAGGGGTAGGGTGGAGGGGAATGAACGGGGGAATAGAACAACTGTAACAGCATAATCAATAAAAAAATTAAAAAAAAGAAACAATCCCCAGATGAAAGAAAAAGCAGAAATTTCAGAAAGAATGTTAGATGAAATAGAGGCTGATCAACTATCAGACAGTGAATTCAAAGCACTGGTTATTATGAAGTTCAAAGAGCTCACAGTGAACTACCAGAAACTAAAGAGGAACTATAATGATCTCTCTGCAAACTACAGCAACATCAAAAAGGAAATGGAAACTATCAGCAGGGGACAAGAGGAAATGAAGAACACAATTTCCGAATTGAAGTACACAGTAGAAAGTTTCCAAAGTAGGATAGATGAAGCGGAGGATAGGATTAGTGAGTTGGAGGACAAGGTAGAAAGCATCTCACAGAAAGAGCAAGAAAATGAAAAGAGGCTCAGAAAGAATGAAGAGGGATTAAGAAAATGCAAGACAATATGAAACCTAATAATATCCGAATAATAGGAATACCAGAAGGAGAAGTAGAAGAACAAGGGATAGGAAACGTATTTGAAAGAGTAATGAGAGAAAATTTTTCTAATTTGATAAGAGAAAAAGTCTCACAAATCCAGGAATCACAGAGAGTCCCAACCAAGAGG